GGGGGGCGGGCACCTTTTCTGGGGTCCTGCAGTTTCGATCCTTTACCGACGGAGGATCGTAAATCTTTGTATTTACCTCGCGCCTCGTACTACGAAACGCAAATACGTAAATCTCAACTCGTCAACCCGCGAACCTCTTCGCGTTCGTCAAACCGAGACGCCAAAGGACTTTTGCCTTTTGCGGTATGGGAGCTCCATTGCGTCATCCACCTGGTCCGACCCGGATGCTCGATCGACGACCTGATAAATTCACCAAATAAACAAGAAACTTAGTAATACTTTAACGTCGCTATATATCAAGCTTGGAAAAGCAGGTCGTCCCCTGACTTTGCATACTTGTTATTCAGCACTTATGTTGTTCTTCAAAATTTTTAATTTTATCAACGCCATCTCCGCTCATACTTTTCCAACTGTCGGACAAGTTGATCAGGTATCTTTGAAATTTGACGAAAAAAAAGTCTATGGAACAGGCAATAAGATTTATTTGGTATATACAGTGATATTTATCTGCACCAAAGGAATCGGGGACATTTTAATATCGTTCGATTTGATTTATCGCTGTATCATTGATCGAACGGTATCAAAGGCGATCACGCGATCTTTTCGATCAATACAGAATCGAATTCGTGTCTTCTATCGATTATAATCGGCTGTACGTGCGCACGGGGTGTCAGAGGTTCACGTATTTATACTCGCAATAGGTAGAATACGTGACTCTAGTCCGGACACGAACCCTTTTTTTTTGTAATATCTTACAGTGATACGGATAGACTCTACAACAACACCTCTTGAGATCAGCTGGATTATTACATCGTAACACGAAAGGTTAGGATGCTGCGCGTTATTAATGCAACCAAGACAACCGATACTCATTCTCTACTTGTCTCCGCAGATAGGATCTCGCCCGCCCAGTCAATAATATTTCGATGCTCGAACCCGTAATTACTATTAGCCCACCCATGGAGAGCCTATTTTGGGGCACTCTTCAAAATTAGCGACGATACCCGTCCGGACGAAAATAGAAACAAGACTGCATGAGATTTTTATTTATAAATTAATAATCACTTTAGAGAAAAAAAGTCTGATAACCGTTTGGTCTCTTTTAATGATTTTATATTGCCTGTTTACACGTATACGGGTAATCTAGGAGTCACGAGCGCGCCTTTATTCCAACTAACGTTACTATTGGCCCGTATATTTTTTTCGTACAAAGTTTTGCTTAATTAATCATTTTCAATGGAGATGCGGTCCATGGACGGATGGCTCATGCCTCGTACAGTCGCACTATTAATTACCACAAGTAGGCGATGACTCGCGTTTTGGATGTTGGCCGGCTGTTCCTATCTGAGAAACAGGGCCAGTAGTGCCAACTTCGTAAATGATGAAGCCACCGGGACACGTTAATATCTCTCTTAAGGTGAGTCAAGAGAGAGAGAGAGAGAGAGAGAGAGAGAGAGACAGGGATGAAGTTGACTGGCGGAAGGTGGGGAGGAGGGAGTGCAGGCACAGGGGTTTCTCTGAATACGCGCTCTCTTTGGGAGCTATTAATTATTTCCAGCATCGTTTCATTAGCTGAGCGGTTCTTCTTGTTCTGTTTCAGGGGGTGACCAAGCACATGCAGCCTGAGCAACGGTGAGTTTAGTTTTATTCTTCGTCTTATTTCCACCGCTGAATTCGATACTCGTGTCCTGAACTTGTAGACTCGTGTACGGTCGTGACAGAATCTTTCGCGATTAAAGCGTGAACCCACGTCCGTGGATGATTTTCATATCGAAGAATTATATCAAATAATTAACTAGGCGACTTCGCTTCGTGGAAATTGGGATAGAGGAGAATATATATGGTCGTTGTATAATTTTGCATGTATTTGAAGACGGTAAGAATTTTTGAAAATAATTTCACCCGGTTGGAGGTGTTGAGGAATTTTGAAAATTTTTTCTTTTTTTCATATAAAAATAAATCAGTCAGGTCACATTAGCTGTTCGTTAGTGGATTTTAAATCGATTAAACAACGCGATAAATTTCTCGTGATTTTTTTTTTTTTTTCGGTAATAGCTCCAGACACAGGGGGTGGAGACTGTTTATTTATAGGGTCGTTCCTTAAGACAAAGCGTTTCAAGTCCAAGATGCACGTGCCCGCTTCAGTGGTCCAGGTATTTTGATATATCGTAAGGGATGCTGAAACTATTTGGACCAACACCCCCGCCTAATGCAACCCTCCGTCCCAAAAGTCCACGATATATCATCCAGTCATCGAGATCACGGCTTCGCGCGGAGGAGTCCAATTCCACGTACAATCATTCTCTAATATCGATGACCATCTCTTCTTTCAGGTTCACGACTAGCCTGTTGCTACAGGCTTTTCCACGTTTGAAATGCGTCATCGACTTGACGGACTCCGATCGCTACTACGACAGAAAGGTAAGGATGTAAAAATCACATATGATTTTTCAAGATAAAAAAGGTGAATGAAAAAAAAAAAAAATTAATAAAAATAAAAGAATCGTATCGATTCTATTTTAAAGAATTTCCATTAATTAAACAAGGCCCAAATTTTGCCAGCACGGTAATGACGTTTACCGTTTAGTCCTCGAGCCTAAAAGTTCTCACGTGGCGACTTCAGGCTGTCACCTGCTGCATTCCTTGATCCGGCAGATATCAGAGAGACATCTTTCTCCGTTCACTCATTCTCCTCTCTCGCTCTTAATCTCTCTCTCCCTCTCTCGATGCTCGCCATCCTCCTTCCTCGTGCCACCACGTATCTTGCTCTCTTCGTCATTGTCCTTTTTTTTTCACTCTTTTTACCTCACCTGCCGTTCCAAAAGGAGGCCTGATATCTCAACACGTTGGGGGCAGTTCTGACTTTATTAAGCATTTATGAGCGGCCGTGGGGGCCTGGTTAATTTGTAGCGGGTGAGAGTCCAGGCCTTCGGGTTATATTCATAGGGACCCGAAAGTAGGGATGCGACTAATGAACTTATTATTAGATTTTTGGAATAGCCGGCCGCGCAGTCCGATCGAGTGGACTAGACGGGTTGGAGTTTTCTAGGTCAGACCTGTCAGAACCGAAGACCGATCAATTATATTAATAAGCTCGTGAAGGCCCGCGCTTCGGCATCTCCCGGCATTGCTTTAAAACTTGTCTGCATTTTCTTTCTCTGCTTATATCTCCTTTACTTATTTATTTTCTGGCCACGGGTCTTAAACCACACGCGCGTGGAATCTTATCTGGAAGCACGGAAAGTGAGAATCCACGTATGATCCTTGACTTTTAAGAATTTTCGTATCGATCACGCCTGAGACTCTGGTCGCGATAACTCCTCGAACGTATCGAACTGAAATTTATGAGATTCTCTGTTTTTCATTATTGAACACGATACGCCTCGTCGAGTTCAATAATATCACGATGAATAATCCCTTCGTAAATTCCAGGTTGTCACCCCTGCCTAATTGGAGCAGATTACCTAATGAACCCCTTCGGACTGTCCCATTCCCTGGTTCCCTTTGACAGGAATAGAAAAAACGAAACTCATTCAGTGAAACAAAGGACGTCATAATGGACCATGGAGATTTTATCAATGGGGTTGGGTATGCCCATCGGGAGATTCCATCCCCTCCGTATATAATTCACCCTTTTTTTTTTCTATGCATATACGTCAGTCATATTTTTTTTTTTATTATACCACGTCTTACAAAAATTCATCTAAATGCACTTGAGCTATATTCAAATTGTTTTGTACCAACCGTCCGTACCAGAAAATGCAATTGCAAGTCAACCCTTGTTCTACCTCGATACGATCGAGTTACGGACTTTACAGTCCCACTTATTACTCGCAGCGTGTTTGTCTCGACATTGAATCATGTTCGGTAGCAAAAGGCACCGTCACCCAGTATAATACGATTGTTCCGAAGCACGAAGGGATGTCGTGGGCCCAAAAAAACAGAGAGAGAGAGAGAGAGAGAGAGAGAGAGAGAGAGAAAGAGAGAACGTCAGTCCCAAACCCCGGTAACGACAACGTGAAAAGATAAACCCGATGGTTTATCTCGGTCTGATCCGTCAGCCAACCGTATAGAGATGATGGAGAAAGAAGCTGAGAGAATTCGAGCAGCCGGCATCGGTAGCTGTTTGTGGGTATCGCGAGTAACGGGTTTCAGTCTTTGAGCTATCGAGCCTTTGAGCCGGCGAGCCCAGTACGTACGGCAACCTGTGGCCGTTGAGTTTGAGCATTACGGCCGCCGCGAGAGAGTAGCTCGATCCTGGTGGGAGAAAGGAGAACTAGAGGGAGAGGGAAACAGTGGCCGAGCGAGAAGCTTCGAGAATCGAGACACCCAAAGGCACCTCGGCCTTTTTTTTAGTTCCGATTTTCCAGGGGCACCGGGGGGGG